GGGTCTTAGTCAAGAACTCACAAGGACAGAAGGAAAATTATTTTTGTTCCCTGCATTCCCTGTTTGTAAAATCATTTCTAGAACACAGAGATGAGAAACTGACTCATTTAAAGGTGAGCAGTAAAAGAATTCATGGATTAAAAGATTCAGTATTGTAAAACCAGGTGAGTCTCTCCAAATCAACCTATAGATTCAAAGCAATCCCAGTCAGAATCTCAGTAGGTTCTTTTTCAACTGAAACTGACAGGCTGTTTCTAAAATTAATTTGGAAATGCAAAGGACCAAAAATACACAAAGCAACCCTGAAGGAAAATAAAGCTGAAAGGTTTTTCCTACCAGACACTAAAACCCATTATAAAGTTATTGTGATTAAAATAATGTGTTAAGGCACAAGAATGGTCAAACTGACCAATGGAAAAAAGAGTATCCAGAAATAAAGCCACACATTCAAGGTATCCTAATCTATTACAAAAGCAACACGGTAGGTAGTTCAGTGGGAGAAAGAATCACCTGCTGAGTAAATACGAGTTAATGGGACATCCATTCAGGGAAAAAAAAATAATGTTGATCTTTATTTGATCTTCACTTGATCTTTACTTGACCATATAAAAATCAGTTCAGATGGATGACAGATCTAAAGGCAAAAGGTAAAATGAAGCTTTTAGAAAAAGTATCTGTCTAACCTTAAAGTAGGCAAATATTTCTTTAAAAGCACTAACCACAAAAAGAAAAAGGTTTAATTGGATTCTAAGAGTTAAGAGCTTCTGTTCATTAGAAGACACTATTAAGGGGTGCCTGGGTGGCTCAGTGGGTTAAAGGCTCTGCCTTTGGCTGGGGTCATGATCTCAGGGTCCTGGGATCAAGCTCAACAGGGAGCCTGCTTCCCTTCCTCTCTCTCTGTGGGTTTCTGTCTACTTGTGATCTCTGTCTGTCAAATAAAACCTTAAAAAAAAAAAAAGACACTATTAAGAGAGTGCCACATATATTCTGAGATATTTGAGGTATATATATCCAAAGACTCGCATCCAATAAAGGAGTAAAGAACTCCTTCAAATCAGTAAGAGATAGCCCAATTGAAAAATATGCAAAAAACATAAATTGGCTTTACAAAAGTGGATTTTACAATGGATGGGCTCATAAGCATATAAAAAGACTCTCAATTTCTTTATCAGGAAAATGCAAATTAAAGGCAAGAGGACAGACCAGAAGGCTAACAAGAAAGACTAATATTAGCAAGTGTTGGTAAGGATGTAGTGCAACCAGACCTCTTATATACTGCTGGTAGAGGAGTATAAACTGGTACAGCTGGGTTGGAATAGTATTTGACAAAATCTACAAAAGGTGAATATGTGCCTCTCCTATGACTGAGTAATTTTACTTCTAAGTATATACTCAACAGAAACACGTTCAACAAAACATATATTCTAAGCAGCACTATTCATAATAGTCCCAAATGGGAAACTACCCAAACCATGAACTGTAGAACAGATTGAAAAGTTGTCATACATTCACAGGGAATACTATGGAGAAATAAAAAATGCTCGCATGACAATACAGATGAACCTAACAAAACCAGAGAGCAAAAAAAGTCAGCCAAAAAAAGAGCATATACAATTGGAATTGCACAGTGGAGACAAAATTAAGTTAGTTATTACAAGTCCAAATAATGGTTTTCTCTGAGGTGGGCAGGACTAACAAAGGAAATAAGAGGTAAGTAGCTTCTGGTGTGCTCGTGATGTCGTTTCTTGATTTGGCTATTGATTACATGGGTGTATTCAACATGTTAAAATTTGTCAATCTGCACATTTATGATTTGTATATTTTTCTTATGAATATTATCCCTCAATAAAGATCATATGATAAAAAGCAAATAAACAGCAAACTGGAAATGATTTTCTACAAGTGTAATAAGGTTAAGTAACACAAGAAGAACTCATGCAAATCAATTTTTTTTGTTTTTGCAAATCAATAAAGAAATATTTTATTTATTTGTTTGAGAGAGAGAGAGAGAGAAAGAGAGAGCAAGTGAGCGAATGAGCAGGGGGAAGAAACGAGAACCTGAAGCAAACTCTGCACTGAGCTGGAAATGGGGCTCGACCCATAACTGCGAGATCATGATCTCAGTTAAAACCAAGAGTTAGATGCTTAACTGATTGAGCCATCCACGTGCCCCTACAAATTAATTTTTAAGAAGCTGGCATCCAGGGGTGCCTGGATGGTTCAGTTGCTTAAGTGCTGGGACTCTTGATCTGGGCTCAGGTCAGGATCTCAGGGTGGTAGATTGAGCTCTCTTGGCTTCAGGCTTCAGGCTCTGCACTGGCAGTGGAGCTTGCCTAAGATTCTCTGTCTCTCCCTCTGCATCGTGCCCCCAACCTCACCAAAGAAAAAAATTAAAAAAAAAAAGAAAAGAAAAGCTAACGTCTAAGAGGAAAATGAACAAAATACATAAAAAGAACATGCAAAGAAAGAAATAAAAATGGTTCCAATAAATCCACAAAATATGAATTAGAACAATGGGATGATATTTTCCCCTGCCAAATTAGCAAAGATTAAAAGAAACTAAAAAAGCCATTGCTGAGGATTTGGTGAAATTGATATTCTTATTCCTAATGGAAATGTAAGTTAGTATAACCTTTTTGTAGGAGTCTTTAAAAAATTGTCATATCCTTTTGACCCACTAGTTTCACCTCTAGAAATTATTCTAAGGAAAAATCAGAGCTGCAGTTAAAGATGGAATCATATCAGTGTTATTACAATGGTATTTTGAAACAATATAACTGTCCATAATGGAAATATGGTTATATTAAAATACACACACATGCTGGAATGTTATCAATAATGTTTTCAAAGAGTAATGAAAAAAGACTCATGAAAATTTTAAATGAAAAATACATACAAAATTCTACATGCTATGATACCTTTTGCTTTAAAAAATATCACACGCTAAACATACACTTGCTTTAAAAAAAGTCTGTAAGAACACATAATATTATGTTAATGGCAGCCATCATTGATTGGTAGGATAAAGGATGATTTTAATTTAATGGTTTATCTTCTACAATGAAATGTGTTTTTTTGAGCATTACTATTATATTCAGAAATCTAAGAAAAAATAGGGTTAAAAAAAAAAAACAAAAGAACATCCGCCTAGCTTTCTTTACCCTAGAAATCTGAGCAACCTAGATTTTTGTCTCCTTCAGCTCCCACCTTCAATATGTAACTGTTTCCTTGATTTTACCTGTAATTCTAAGAATTACCTGTCCAAGCCATCATTCCATTATTTCTTCTCTCATTTCCAAAATTCAAACACTTGTCTTCCCAAATGAGCTCCTCGAATCCAGACTCTTCATTTTGGCAAAACGACTTTTTTTGGTAAAACGACTTCATCTTCCACTACTTCTACATTCTAGCCACATCAAACCACTTTATATAGCGACCTTCCACGCTCATGCCTCTGAAAAAATCCACGCCAGGTACCTTCACACCTCCTAACCTTGGCATGATCAGTTCTCTCTCCCGGGAACGCATTTTCTCCATTCGTCCTAATCCGATTCATAGTTAAGATGTACCTCCGCTATCATTCTCTGGGTGTAGCTTCTCTGAGACCACACGAACAGAGTGCCGTTTCCACATCAATCCTCCAGTAACCATTAATACATATTTCAACATTCATCATTCTGCACTCTTTAATGGCTAGCTTTCCCAGTGTATGGAATAAGCCATTTCTTTTTAAAAATTCCTTAAAATCTGGTTGGATGAGTGAACATAAAGCATACATATATGCAATATATCTACACTGCGTGTGAGCTTTCACCTGTATCGGATAGATAAACGGCAATAAAACACTCGCCTGCTTTTTTTTTTCTCTTCCTCCCATTCAAGATGGCAGAGAACGTCTTAAAATAGTCCCACACAAAAGCACTCACACCCAGAGCCTCGAGTCAGAGGAACTGGCTACACCTAGCGCAACAGCAAAGGACAAAAGAATTGAACCTAGATGTTGAGATGGCTCGGTCCTCATCACTCTCAGTAGGTCCCCATACAGATTTTCAAACGTGTTAGAAAACTGGCACCTGCTGCCTTCATTACGAGGACCACGCCTCGATCGTGAATAGTGACCTGAGCCACTTCTGGATACTGACCCAAAAAATCGAGGATGAAAAAGGGGGAGGCTAAGCTGCACTGAGGAGTATCCAAAATGCACGACTGGGCCCCGCCCCACCCGGGCGCAGTAGCCCCGCGGCATATCCATCACCCGGGAAGGAACTGGCAGGGCTCCGGTCCACCGGCCTAGCAACCGGGGCCCCAGCTGAGAATTCTGGGCGGGCCCGAGGCGGAGATTGCCGCGGCGAGGGTGCCCGGGGCTACACCTGTCAGGAGGCGACCAACAGTAGGCCCCGAAATCGCCGAGGTTCGGTGACCCAGGCTGGTAAGAGCGTCACTCGATCCCTTCTCCCGGGATCGGCCCTTCGCCTTCCCCCTTGACCTTCTCAAACAAAGGCAATCCACACCCACCGCCATTTTCCCCTTACCTCAAAAACCACCTCTTCGTCAAACTCTGGTGTCATCCTTCTCCGCCATGCCACCCGCCTCAGCACGATGGGAAATGAAGGCGGGAGAACCGGCAGCACCCCGGCTTCTGCTACAGAACGGTCCCTTCTGTTCAGAAAACTACAATTCCCAGAATGCCTCGCAGCTCACGCCCCCTTTTCAGGACCATTTATTGGAACAGAGCATGAGCGTGTGGGCGGGAGGGGCTGGAGCGGGCGGAAGCTCGAGCCCACTGATTGGAGGAGCCTGGAGCTTTTGTCCGCCTTTTACGGCCGCGACTAGCAGGGGGCGCCTGAAGCACTGATTTTTTTTATTTTTATTTTTTTTTTTTTTTGGAGCTGGGGAGGAGCACGCGCCGGCGGAGCCGCGGAGAGCCTTGCTCGTGCCGGCGCTTGGCCGTCCTCTCAGAGCTCGGCTGGGTGGCGCTCGTGCCCGCCCGCCCGCCGCCTGCGGCTCGCGCCCGGGAGCGCCGCCGGGTCCCTGAAGCCGGTCGCGTCCTTTGTGCGGCGCTCGGGTTGCGCCGCTGGGCAGCGGGACGGAATGCGGGCGCTGCGGAGGCTCTTCTCTTCTGCTCAAACTCTCGAAACAATGGACTGTAAGAGGAGCATGGACTGAGGGGGGCGAGCGGGGAAGCGAGCTGCACCGGGAATCATGACTTCTGCCGCGGGTAAGTGACGGCGCTCGCGCTGCCGCTGGAAAGTTTGGAGGGAGCGCTGCTAGTCTTGGGCTCTGGAGCAACTTTCTCCTCACGGGTGGGTTAACGGTGTTCCCCCTACCTTTTCCGAGGGCTGTGCAAATGCGGAGCGGACGGCTTGTGCCTCCGGATTTTCTCGTCCCTTCCTGCGGAGAGGGGCTGGTTGGAAATCGTGTTGTCTCTTGGGACCTCCCTTTAAACGGACGCCCGTGTTGGGAGCTCTTTGCGTCAGGTGAATCACGGAATGTGAAGAGGGGGACATTTGCTTGTCCCTCCTAAAGTTTGGGGGACTTCGCATTTGCGTGTGAAAGTAGTTTAGGTTCCCATGTTAAGACAGTTATTCTAGGAAAGGCAGCGTTCCCGGACGTTTGAACTCATCCACTATGCTGAGTCGCTTTGAACCTAGCTAGTCTCTACTGGAAACCCTGACCTTTACTAGCTGGAGAACTTTAGACAGTGTGACTCCAGCCCTGGTGGTTTTTCTTCTGTTATCTGAGAAGCAGAGGAGTAGAATTGTCGATGGCAATTTTTTGCTCCTCTTCACCCAGTTTTTATGGATTTTTTTTCTCTTTCTCCCTGGTTAGTGTAAACGAACCCTTACTTTCTGTCTGCCTTCCATAGTCCTTTCTCGACCTCCAAATGACAAAGCCTGTAATTTACCTTTGTGTGGAGTTTGAGCAATTCTCGACGGTTGTATTTCTAAACAATCTTAAGAAACAGTTCTTATTTTCCGAAAATAATTAGTAAAGTCATTGCAGATTACGATTAAAATCGCTTTATAAGACCATAGGTTAATTTTTAAACCGGAACTTAGTAATATATTGAGTATTGTGGGTTTTTTCTATGTGTTTTTTGGCCATGTTGAAAGAAAAACACTTTCATTAGAAATTTTATAGTAAAACGATGTAAGGCTTCCCCTCAAACTTACTTCTAGAATCAGCACTTAAGCACAATTAAACTTTCTTTGCTTTTCTTGGCATTTGTTTTAAATTCCTGCAACTTGAAGCTGTCAAGCAGCACTCTAAATGTTCTGATTTGTATTATTTCTAAAACATATATTGGAGCGTTGCGTTGCTAGATGTAATCACATTACAACTAACAAGGCGAGAAGTTAGCTAACGAATAAGAAAGCAAGGAATGAAGTATTTCGGAAGATGTTGTGGATGTTTCCTTTATAATGTTACGTGTATGTAGAGGAGATATGTTATCATATACTATGGAAGTTAAACTCTCTTTTCCTTACTAAGGGAGACTTTCTACTTACTTGAGGTGAACTATTTTCATCTTAAATTTCTGTGCCTCACCATTCAGTTTTTCTTTATTACTGACCCAGTCCAGTTAATTAAAATTTTAAGTGGTGGGATATTTAAAAATCTTTCCAGCCATTTTAGCTTTCCCCTCCTTCCAAGTGTCAAACACATTTAAAATATTCATACCTTAAATGTATCATTTTCAATTCTAGCCCTAACAGTTTATAATGAACAGGTACAGGAACATTTAAGTTGACATTTAGATGTGTGAATCTGATCTAGGGTTCGGTCTGGAAGTTTATGATGCTTTCATTTGACTTACCATAGAATAATGCAAGCTATTTTTATATTTTATCAACTTTACAATTAAAGAAATCCACAGACATTTTTGTGGTGTTTAAAAGAGGAACACTTCCTGTGTTTAGCTGAGTTAGTTGGTTTTTAGCCTGGCTTGCTGAGAAGCATTAACTACCTTTTTGTTCACCCATCTGTTAAGAGATTTTTTTTATAATTCTTTCTCATGTCTAAATGGAGAATATGGGGGAAAACTGGGGTTTTATTTCCATTCTTTTCTTACAAAATTATGTGGTCATCATTCTTACAAGCTCTTTATGATGCTTTTTTGGTACAATAATAAAATTCTTTAAAATTTTAGGAATATTATTTGCAGTTGGGGGAGGGGATGTTTGTTTATGTTGAATCTAATCTGTGGTATTTGGGATGGTTGTCTTAATTTTAAAAAATAAGATAGATAATAAAAAAATAAAAAAATAAAAGAAATGTTGTAGGACATTTGCGTTACATATATCCTGAAGGAGAGCTTGCTTTGTTTTTCTGCATCTGTGAATGAGTAGGCCCATAATAGAGATTTTTAAACTATTCTAGTCAGTTTGTGAAAAAGGAAAGAGATCATCAGTGTATATTTTATATCCTTTAAAACAGATACAGCCTCATTAATGCCTGTGTTTTGCCTTTTGGCTGATCCAGTGGCTAGGAAAGTGTGTACGTGAACCACAGCCATCTGTGTGTAACAGATGACGAGTACGTTTGTAATAGTAAAATGGTACCGGTGCTTTACTTTCTTACCTTATTTTCCCCTGGAGCCAAACAGCTGTGTAAATAAAAAGATTTGCTGCTTTGCTCTACAGCTTTTGGGTCTAAATGTTGATACAGTATTAAAATCCAAAGGTGCTGGGTGCATTTCCAAACATCATGCACTTATTTCAAGAGTGACAGAAACAGGCTGTGATATATTGGCTTTTTATTTTTTGAGTTGTGTTTCTTTCAAAATAGAGCCACTAAATACTACTACGACGACGACTACTACTAAGAAAGGATTTTGATATTGCTGTACCAGTGACTTAAACACTTGCTCTTACTAATAATTAAAAACTTACTCAGTAATCCTGATTCCTGCTAACTTTTCAAAATATTGTTCTACATTTAAATGGATGCTGATTTTTTTTAGAAAGAAATTTCCTGTTACTGAGGCATATTAAAGGGTATGTATATGTGGCAGCTTTGTCTATTCCCAGGCCCTGTTTTCAGCATTGAGAATAGAGCGATGTATTAAAATGCTTCTTCTCCTGGAGCTTGCCTTCTAGTGGTGAAGACTGACAAAATTATTCTGAAGAAGAATCACATGGAGAAAAGGGACTAAAGAATATAAGGATTCTCCTGAAGCAAGGATCACATAAGTTATAGTCTCAGAATCATATAGGATTTAGGGATCTGTTCCACATCCTCATCTACAAGGAAACTGAGGCAGCCAGATCTTTGAGTTATGTTATCAGCTACCTCCAATACACAGTTTAAGAGTAGCAGGCTGAAGTTCACAGTTATTTATTTAATTAAATGAGTATGCGTTGAATATTAGGTATATAACGCTGTGCTGTATTTGTTGGGAATCAACCACAGCTCAGATATAGATACTTGAATTTCTGCAACACTAACGGTGGGGATTTATGACTCTTGGAAGAGGACTCATAAAACACATTTAAAGAAGAGTAAAACTGGTACCAAAGATTAAAAAACAGTATAACTAAAACGCAAAAATTGATTTGTTAAATGGCTTTTGACAATAAACTAAGATTCAGAAAGTAAAAGATTGATTTGATGAGACTGGGTTTTTGTTTTGGGGTATTTTTTAGTTATGGAAAATGCACATAAATTTACCATCTTTGCCATTTTTAAGTGTACAGTTCAGTAGTGTTAAAGACCCTCAAGTTGCCTTGCAACAAATCTCCAGAACTCTTTCCATCTTGCAAAACGGACTTTTTTTTTTTCTTTATAATTCCTTCAAAAATCCCAGAGGTAGGATGTTTTAAGAATGGTTATGGAAGTCAACATGACAGCTTGTCAGGTTTCATTATCTGGGGTAGGGTGGGAGGTTTGGAAAAGGCCCTGGGCATTCATACTTTGTCTTAAGACTTAATAGGTCAGGAGTTTAATTTAATAGACTATTATAGCAAGGTTTATCTTCAGCCTCTGAATGGTTTTACAATTTTTTTTCCTTAAACAAAAATAATAACATGCTTATTAAATAGCTAACTAAAATTGTATAGCTTTGGGAATTTATATTAATTTATTTTGGAAGTATTTTATTATCTTTATCAGGACATTACACCCAGGAATTGAATGAGAAAGCATGTGTTATCATGTGACCTTGGCTTGGGAAAATGGTTAGTAAAAGGAAATAGAACACCTTATCCTCCCCCACCCCCCAACTTTCCTCTAATACCTTACCAAATGTTGTGACTTCTCTTGAAATTTCCTTTGTTGAAAAAAAAAAAATCACTAAATGAAGTTTAAAGCCTCTGTATATTCAAATACTTAATGTCCAAAAGATATTTTGAAAAATTTGGGTTTTTTTTTTCCCCCAGTAAATCAAGTTTTTATTAAGCTTTAAATCCTGTTGAAGAACAAACATGAAGTGTAAGACTATAAGATAAAATAAAGTATTTTTACTTCAGGTGTCCTTGGGGAAATGTGACTAGGTGATAGTGATAGTATAGGTGGAAAAACTTAAAAGAACTGAAAAAAAAAAACAACCAAAAACCAGATGTTTGAGTTCTATGTAATCTTCATCTTATAGGTCTTTTGTATGAGGCTTTTGTTAGGTGACTTTAGGCTAGGACCAGGTCTGTACAAAACTAACATAGTATAATTGGTGTTTATTTAAGAAAAATAGGTGTTTGTTAAGTGCTTTTTCTATAATGTTAGGAAAGGATTGCTACAATAGAAATTGTCTTTGAAATGCTCTGGAACAGTGCTTATGAATAAAGGGAACACAGTATATTCACCTGTACGCATGTCCAGGCTGTATGCCCAGAAACTCTGACTGATCAGACATGTAGTTGAACCTATACACATGATTTTTTAAAACAATAAAGCTCTGTGAGGAATTATAATGAAAATTCCCAGTAATATTCCCCATACAGAGAAATACCAAGTTCATAATGAATCAAATAATATAGAGGAACTGGTTTTGTTTGTAAGTTTGGAAAATTTCTGATTTCTGTATTCCTTTTTAGGATAGTTTTGGAGTTCTAGTGAGGTAGATTCTTGAGAAAAGGCACTTAGACAACTCTGTGGTATATCACTGAGGTAGAAGAATACCACTACTTATTGATATGTAACGTTAAAGGGTTTCATTTCTATATAACTGAGGCAAATTCATTCAGCACTCAGCAGATGAACTCAAGTACTACTTTCTTCTTCTATACCAATGATTTCATTTAGTGTCCACTGAAGATATGGTTATCTGTTCCAGAATTAGAAGAAAAACTGTATTGGACTTGCTAAGAAATGTATACTCTACCCAGAGCTTTGTATATTGGAATTGAAGGTCAATTTAAGGAATTTTCAGGAGTAATGTTGACTCTTTAATGTAATGTAATCTACCTAGTAAAATGCAAGCTCACCATATTATCCAAAAAAAGTAAAAATGTTATCAAATTTAATTATTTATCATCTTTTGCTTTGGGGTTTTTTGTTTGTTTTTTAGCATCATATTATTATTTTTTCCTTTCTAGAGATTAAGAAGCCACCAGTGGCCCCTAAGCCAAAGTTTGTGGTAGCAAATAATAAGCCAGCTCCACCTCCTGTTGCACCCAAACCCGATACTGTGATTTCTAGTGTTCCACCGTCAACAAAGAAAACCAAACCAGCAATAGCCCCGAAACCAAAAGTTCTGAAAGGCTCACCTGTTAGAGACATCGGGCAGTCACCATCAAGGAAAATCACTGTAAACCTGGAAGAGCACAAACAGGAATTACCTGAAGATGCCGACAACTCTAACTGTAAAAATGTAGGGCATCAGAGCAGTGATTATATTTTACCAATGTGTTCCTGCAGTTCTCAGTGTATCCATAAACTTGGGAATAGAGAGAATTTGTGTGTAAAGCAACTTGTCTTAGAGACCCTGGAAACGCATGAAAACTTAGAATATAGTAAAACTGAGGAGTCCTCTTTAGCCGTAAAAACAAGGAGTAAATGTGATTCTAATGTTGAGAATGTCAAGAGCCAGAGTGAAGTCGTTTTAAAGGCAAACATCCTAGAAGAGAAGCTCAAAGATGTTTTAACACAACGAACATCACCTTTTATTTCCCTACCGAAGCACAGATCCACAGACAGCCCAGAAATTAATGATGGTTATAATTCCAACAGACAATTCAGAATTGAGTTTGCAGATTTGTCACCTTCCCTGTCCAGCTTTGAAAAAGTTCCTGATCATCGCCACTGCCACCTACAGCTTCCTAGTGACGAAACTTACCAGCCTAGCAGTGATAAAAGCAATACTTGCTTTTATTCATCTGGACGAGAAGCTCTGGAAAATGGTAAAAGGAGTACTTTTTTACCTTCAGATGGAGTTAGTAAGAAATCAGAAGTCAAAGACCTTGGTCCCTTAGAAATTCACTTAGTACCACATACCCCCAAATTTCCAACCCCCAAGCCCAGAAAGACACGGGCTGCTCGTCTGTTACGTCAAAAGTATGTAGATGTGCCTAGTGAAAGTGCTGAAGAACCAGAGAATTTAGACAGTAACTCTTCTTGTCTTTTAGAAGCTGGTTTGAAAAACAATAAAATCAGTGTTCTTCATCATAATGTTTTGTGTAATCAGGAACAGGTGGACAAAGTGAAGCCAGGAAATAAAAGTGAATTGAATGTGGACTGCAGTGGTGACAGAGAAAATTTAGTCAGTCCACAGAAAGCTGTGTGTCCTGAAACATCTTCCTTTGAAAAAATGGAAACAGATTCTAATTTAAGTTCTGACAGCAAGACAGTAGATGGTTGTAGTATGTCACTTGCTGTGGACAAAGAGACCAGTTTTATAAGGTGCAGTACTTTATCTATGAGCCTGCCGAAGCAGCTCAAATTAACCTGCAATGAACATTTGCCTACTACCTGCAACATGGGAGTGTCTGCCCCTCAAATACAAAAGGAATCTACAATAAAAGGTGAAAATTCCTCAAGGATTGTCCCAAAAAAACCTCAAAGACACAGCTTGCCTGCTGCAGGAGTGCTTAAAAAGGCTGCCTCAGAGGAGATTGTGGAGAAAAGTTCTTATCCCTCAAATGAAGATAATAATTCAGAGAAAGGTCTAGAAAGAAATGACCTTCAGCATTTGTGTGCCCAAAACCTCAGTATGTCATCCTCCTTTGATATGCCTAAACGGGCTCCAGAAAAGCCAGTGTGGAAATTACCTCATCCTATTTTACCCTTTTCGGGGAACCCAGAATCCTTAAAGTCTGTCACTACATCATCAAATAGTGAGCTTTCAACTGCCATAACTAAGCCTCGAGCAAAATCATTATCTGCCATGGATGCGGAAAGGTGCACTAAGCCTTGCAAAGACACTCAGAAGAAAAACTCTTTAAAGAAGTTGCTGAACATGAAACTGTCCATCTGCTTCATGAAGAGTGACTTCCAGAAATTTTGGTCCAAGAATAGCCAGCTTGGAGATGTAACTGCAGGCAGCCTCTCAGGTGGGGAGAGGAAAGGAATTGAAAGTGATTGGCATGGCCTGTTGGTAGAAGAGAAGAGAAGTAAACCCATCAAGGCGTATTCTGCAGATAACTACAGCTTGGAATCTCAAAAGAAGAGGAAGAAGTCTCGGGGCCAGACCAGTGCAGTTAATGGACCACGAGCTGAGTCTTTGGATGACCAAATACTCTCCAGGGAGTCATTATCTCAGGCGCCTTGCAAATCTATCACAAGTGGCTGTGCCCCAGAGTATGAAAATGTACGCCATTATGAGGAAATACCAGAGTATGAGAACTTGCCATTTATAATGGCCATAGGGAAAACTCCCGAGTTAGAATGGCAGAATTCCAGAAGCATGGAGGACACCGATGCAAATGTGTACGAGGTAGAAGAGCCATATGAAGCTCCAGATGGCCAGTTGCAACTTGGACCCAGACATCAGCATTCCAGGTAACACTTAGGTGCCAGATGGACACTGTGCTTTTGCATTTATCACTGAAATTAACCTCCTAAGAACCCTGTGAGATGGGGAAATCACTTGGTGAGAGAGTGGTTTAGTTAAGCACATATTAAATTATTTCAAACTGCAGTGTTCTTTTATCATAGTCAGTATGGGTATTTTCAATGCAGGCTTGAAGTAGCTGACTTATTTTAGTAGCTGATTCACAGAATTTGAACTAGTGGTAGTGTAGATAGTATAAAGGAGACCTAGAACAGCAAGGTTGCAGGCCTCCAAAGCACTAATGTAGAAGGAATAGCAGGAATCTAAGGGAGGAAATTGGCCAGTTCAGTGACGTTTATTTGTTAGGTGTAAGAAATGTGTGCAGTTTGGGGGTGCCTGGGTGGCTCAGTCAGTTGAGCGTCTGACTCGATCGCAGCTCAGGTCTTAATCTCCGTGTCATGAGTTTGAACCGCTCACTGGGCTCTACACTGGGTGTGGAGCCTACTTTAAAAAAAAAAAAAAGAAAAGAAAAAGGAATTTGTGGAGTTTGAAATCCATGCATTTGCCTATGGTGTCCTCGTCAGTTAAAACCTCGAAATTTACAAAATTTCCTACTCTGACAATTAGTTATTTTGCTTGTTGAAAACTAATTGCTGGCTTCATATGGATGTAGGAAAAACACAGGAAATGGAAAGCTACTATCTTTTCTTTCTCACTTTTTTTATATGTATTTACTACCTCTGGTATCCCTTCTCCAACTTTCTTATTGAAACCTTGACTGTCCTTGATGGTCCAGCTCAGCAACCATTGACTTCATGAAGCTTTTACAGACCTAGTAGGAATGTTTATTTCCTATTCTGATCTCCCCATTATGCTGTGGTATCTTTGTAGGTTTTATCTCCGTTTGTCTTATGGTATAGTTTATACAGTCTGATATTCTGTATTCAGTTTTAAGCTCCACCAAGAGTTTGAGTCGTATCTTTTTTTTTTTTGACAATTTTATTTTAATATTCTTAGTTGAAAATGAGTCATATCTTTTATCTCTTATGGGGCCAAATAGGGTTTGGAGGGATGAGTAGGTGTTGGTTGGGTGAAAGAATGAATGAAAAAGAAGGAAAGTAAACACTGAGAAGCTTTGTTCTCTCTCTGAGGTCTCAAAGAGGGCCTTCGCATTGCATTTAAAGTGTTGTGTGTATAACATAAAGCCCATAGGCCCTTTTTGAAGTCTTCATGCTCTTAGGTCATTAACCTCAAAGTAACCTTTGAGTACTTACAGTGGGACTTTTGTAGAAATAGTGACATAACAGAGGATCAGAGAATTATCAGGTGAATGGAATAAATAAAAATGTCAAGCAAAATTTTAGTGTACCAAGTAAAATTGTTCCAATTTCTTTTAGCTTTCAAATGCTCTCGTAGCATGTTTCTTTACTCATCATCTGTGCCCTTCCTCCACTGAGCCATAAAATACTTAGCTTCCTTGCCTGACTTTTCTCATAGCTGACTCCATTCTGCTTACAACTGTCTACTCTGAACATTAGTATTTAGGCAGAAGTCTTTTCCTTGGCATAAATATTTTGACAGAGAATTGAAATTAAGTATCCAGCTTAAAAAAAAAAATGTGTGTTCTCATGCTTGCTCTTGTCTCCATGAAATAGTTTTGTTGGTATTGCCCTGTTTTAATATGTTTTTGTATATTATGTGGGTGTGTATGTGTCTCTGTGTATCTGGGTGAAAGAGGAATTAATTTGGCTTCTTTATAATGTATGATTATCCTTAGCTAAGATGGAGTGTTTTTCTTGAAATTGGAGGTTTGGCCCTCCCATTGGCCTTCAGGCTTAAATCCCAAAGATTTGTCATTATTGCTAACACTAGCTGTAAACTTCTGGAATTTGTCCCTTTTCTGGTATGTTTCTTATGCAGTGAGGGCACTGCTGTCCTGGTGCTGCTGGGAAACCAGGTTGGAAGGGGTTAATGTACACTGCCAGCCTGTGCAGCTGATAGCCTTGGTAAGGAGGGTTATTTCTCAAGGCCACAGGAAACTGAGGGCGGCTTTGGACATGTTACAGGCTGTGAAGTAGGGCAGCCTGGTAGAGAGTGAGAGAGTTCTGCTTTTGAATTGGCTTTCCATGGAGATTTTTGTCTAGGCCTGGAGCAGGGAGCCAGGCTTGAGCGTCTTGAAGTGTGCCAGCTGAATCCAAAGCCTTCAGTTGTAGGGTCAGACTAACAGCTTTTCCTGGGAGGGTGTACCTTTTTAAAACATTGAATAGACGAAAAAAAGCAAAATCCAAGCCTTCATGAGGAGGATACCTGGACACCTTAAAACAAGGTAAATGAGAAGTGGGACCTGCATTTCGGATGAACCGAATGGATCCAAATGGACATCCTGTTTGGCAGTCTGGCTGTTGAAAATATTTAGACCTCTGCCTTGGAGTAATTGATTTAAAGTCCAACACAATAGAGGTCTAAAATGATAAGAAAAAACACAGATGAACCCTATTTAAGACTCATCTGCTGAAGTGAATAAAAAAGTGTCTTTAACAGTTTCTTAATCCTCAGGAAAGAGATTCTGGATCTTTCCTAGGGGACTGGTTTACAAGACTTAACTGGTTTTGCAGAGTCCACATATATAACCAACCAGATTCTGGATTAGTAAACAGACATTGCCAGCCCTGGGGTGGCTCATGTGGTCACGTTCTTTAGAGTACAGATGTTTCATGAGTCCAACAGCTTAATATTTACTAATTCATAACATGTTTATAATTTATCAGGAAATAATTGTATGTAGTCCTCATACAAACAAGATTGTGTTCTAAAAGTTCATGATAATTTGGAACTTAGAGTGTATTTCCTGCCCAAAGAAGGAGTTTTGGAAACGTTGGTAGAGGACCCAGGTTAGCGTCTACATTATATTAACCATTACTGTCCTGGCTTTCCCTTCCCCTTTCCTAGGTGAATTCTTCCTCCCAGTGCATGTTTGTGCTGGGGCAGGATCTTTGCCCAGCCAGGGTGGGGTTGAGCACGGTGTCAGAGAAGCAAATCCCCTGGGTCTGAGATGGCAGTGTTTGTGGAAAGGGTGAGGTGACTAAAGAAGAATGAGGAAACTGGGGGCTGGGTTTGCTTTGAGAAAGACTGCAAGGCATTGGGAGTGATAAGGCGAAGGGAAGGCTGTGTGGGTTGGGATTTAATGTGCAGTGGATTTTCTTTCCCTCCTTCCTCCTCACTGTTCCTATAACTCTCTTTCCCTCCCCATTCTCCCCTGCGTGATTCTGCTGATTGAGTTTGTGACCTCCAGCAAGAATGAGTAGGAGAAAGCGGAGGAAGGGAGTTGATGGGGGTAAGGAGTGGCTCTGGGAAGCCCTGGGAAGCCGTCCAGAAGTTGATGGGGGTAAGGAGTGGCTCTGGGAAGCCCTCCAGCAGGGAAAGGTGAATAGCCAAATCTGAAAGAAGGTAAAAGAGAGTGAAGGGAATTCCTTTGGCCATAGAAGCAGTTGCTTTACAGGTTCTCAGATAGGTTGCCATTTGCTAACTGCTCAGGGTTCTCAAAAGCAGTTTTGTTGGGAGCAAGATTGTGAGTAACTCAAGCATTCTGGTGCCATTTAGGTGTTGTTATGAGCTCTCTTTGCCGAAATGTTTCAAACATGATTATCCGAAAATACCTAGCTGGCACCTCTCTCACTCTGGCATGCACGTTAATGAGTGCTCATTTACTATTATTATTTAAGAAGTTTGATTTTTATAGGGAATTTAATAAATGTGAGCCTTTAATATTAAAGAGTTACAGACAAATCAGCAAAATAATAGTGTGTAAATAAGGGGATTTTCCTCTTGAAATTGTAGCAGATTTTTAAATTCTCTAACCAAGAAGAACTTTCCTTGGAACCTTTCTAGGTTTTTCCTCTGTTGTTTTAGTTCTTTTTATAAGCGCTTCAAAGAAAATGAATGATTACTGGATTTTCCTCGGTAACTTGGCAAGCCTTCAGTTTATTTATTCCACAGTCTTGACCATGTGTAAAGCACTTGCCTTCAGAGCTAAATGGAGGGCGTGGGGGGTGACATTTCCCAGGAGCTTCTGTCCTGTGAGGCAGCAATTTTAGGGGAACATGGTTCTGTTGATCCAAGCTCTGTCTGAGTTATACCTCAAGTAAGGTATTAAAGATAACCTCACAGATTTGGTAACACTTGACCCAAGGCTTATAAAACGGACATGATTGAATTTGGCATTTAGGAGGTCATTTTCTAACTTCACTGGTGCTCTGGGGGAAGTAGCTGCATTGCAGACTGAGGATTTCAAAGAGAGGAAATGGAATCAGCCAATGTGGATGGCTGTGTCTTGAAACTTTGCCCAGAAGTCCCCATCACTTGACAGGTTTGGATTTATCTTCAGGTTTTCCTAAAGTACCAGGATTCAAAGTAAATTTCAGGATAATTTCTTCTTAATTAATCAGTAGATTCTTATTTCTGATGAAGGAAAGTATTAAGCTTTTGTTTGTTTTCTCCCCATTTTAAACACAAAACTGGTCTGAACAAACTGCCAAATTATAAATCCTCTAAAATCCTGTAATGACTTTTGTGTTGTAAATCATCAGACCCCATCTAGAAGATATCTCTCTTGGGTTGCATTTACCATCTGGTGGTGTTGTTGCATTTTACTATAATGATTAAAGTATAAAAGAATAGCCCTAATAAGCATTTTCATCCTGTCATAGCACCGATATTATGCACAGTTAGAGGGTGAAGGTTAGGACTCCTATATCTCAAAAGAAGCCCTTTCCTCTGAGTTATTTTCAGCACCAGCTCAGGAAATGTAGAAAATTTGCATGGCTCTTTATCTTTCTTGTGTTGGAATCATAACACACAATTTTGGCAAATCTGTTTGTTTACATACTTACCCTACATTTGGAACTGCAGCTCATTGCGTTGGATTTTACTTCTTGGCAATAAGGCTTTTCTTTTTTCCCTTCCAAATTGATTACTAGCAATTAGTGAAACTGCAGCTCTATCGCTCTGG